AAAAGTCAGAATTCTGAGAAAAAAAGTCAGAATTCCGAGATTAAAGTCAGAATTCCGAGATTAAAGTCAGTATTCTCACTTTTTCCCATGTTAAACTGAAATAAAATTTTAAAATCAGTTTACTTTTTTTTTTGTGGCCCTAATCCTCTTCCGTACAGACGAGTTTTTTTTTTAGAGCAAAGCTAAATTTAAAACAGCGATTTTCAGAGATCATAACAGAAAATAGACGGTAGTTCTGCCGCCATCCATGCAGGTGTTTGGTTTCTCTCCTCTGAGTTAAATGAGTTGGAAACGCAGCAGAAACGGCCCTCATTCTCCCACTGGTGTCGCGTTACCTCACTATTATTCACATCTTTCCGCTCTGATGCCATTTCTCATCGTATTATTGTGCACTGACTTCCTTTCCAGCTGTAACAGACGTCCGATGACCTGCAGACTGGTATCAGGATGACATTGTGTCGCCGCAGGAAGTTTCTTGCTTTGTTTCCTGAATCCATCTCTGATCTTTTTTCTCTCTGCAGAAGGCGAGCCAGGGGCCTCCCCGGCTCCTGAGGCAGAGGGCTCTACAAGCCAAGATGCCCAGGGAGGCGGAGGCCCGTCCTAAAACGGAAAATGATGAGCGATGGAGAGATTCAGACACTTGAGCTGCGGGATGTTTGGAGCGACGGAGGGAAAATGAAGAAGTGGAAATATAGCCGTCCTTCATGGATCTGAGGACTTTCAGTCACTGCCGGCCTGTTTGGAGCTTTCCTCGCTCCAAATGTCGCCCACTTTTCTTTTTTTGTTGCTTTTTTGTTTCCTGGACCAGAGAAAGTAGAGAGAACCGAGTGGAAGTGGAGAACAGGAAGCTTTAAACTCTGTATTTCCTGACGGGACGAGGAGGCACAGAAACTCTGGTTGAATGGCTGCAGAGACGGACAGAGATGATTTATAACCTGAAGCGGCGCTGCAGCCTGTAGAAGCCAACGTGTGTCATGGATTCACTATCATATGTGTCGGGTTTTGGTTTATCTTCACGTCTGTGTGTTTGTGACGCTCTCGTCCCCTTTTTCTTTTTTCTGGTATCGTCTCCATTTACTGTCGAGTACAGACTTCATATTTATTGCTAAATGTTCAGTGATAACTTTGTGATAGGAGATTTTCTTTGTGTAATAAAATACTGATGAATTACTGTAACATTTGTATGTTTTCAGAGGTGGTGATTTTTGTTCCAGGAGTTTGTCCAGGCTAACTGTAAAAGCGCAGATATGGGAGCCATAAAAGGTGCGGCGTTCCAGCCGAGCGGCGTTAATTAGAACCATAAATATTCCTGAATGCAGCTTTTCTTGTGTACAGGAGGGACGGTCGGAGGAAGTGGGTGTTGACGTTTCCATCCAGGATTGTTTTCTCATTTATCTCTTTTCCACAATAAACGAACAGACGCTTCTCTGAAAGGGTGGCGATTTTTACTGATCCTTCCTGGTCAAGGTGTGCGGCTGATTTTCTGCTCTGCTGTAATACATGCAGCGGTTGGAAAA